CCAGTTGGCTTGAGTACTGTCTCCATGAGCAAACTCAACACTTTTAACTCCCTTCAGCAGAGCCTTCTGTGACTTTATGCAATCCTCCCTTTGCATCAGATTGATAAGAAGTGGACACAGATACTGCCATGTTACAAGATCAGGAAGATGATGCTGGGTGACCAACCATGTTTTTAGGAGGTCAAAATGCCCCACCATTCAGCTTCTTGCATGCCCCAGGGCAAGATAACTATGTCTGTGAAGTGGATACAGTAAACCATAGCAGGATACAAGATGTGGCAATTACAACACAGATAAGATAAGAGTGGTCAATATCCTATACACAAAACAAGTGACTTACCCTGGATCATCATCTGCATCCTGCGGGTTATTCTGTGATGATATCGCAAGAGTTACAAAGAAAGAATTATATTTTGGACTCAGATGAAAATCATCTTCTCTCTGTGATACAAAAAGATGTTAAATTACTTCACTAAGTTTTGTCAAAATTATATGAGTTTTGTAATTGCTTTGGTGGCTATTTTATATAAAGAGGTAAACAAAAGGAAAGTGTTAAGGAATATGGAAAGATGTCAGGGAAGTTTGATTCTTCTAATATTGAAAAATTGCTCTGAGACCAATAATTATAAAGCAGGCAGAGCTTGTCAATATCTTTTAATACTGGCTATTTAAGACAAACTTTACAAATAGTACAGAAACTATTTTGAATTACTAAGCTTTTGCTCTTACAGATTCTTAATAATACACTTTTTATGGTTTGTTACTTGCAGTACATGGGTATCAATATTTCAACAAACAAGAAAAAATGATAGCATGACCCCAAAAGGACTCAATGAAATAAAATCATTTTATTTAATGGTTATAAAGTGATTTTATCTTTTACTACTATCTGATAAATATCACAAGCATATTAGTAAATAGGTAAAAAAAAGGTTTTAACAGATTTCTTGTTTTAAAAATATGTGCCCTGGAATATTTACATTTCTAAGTGATCAAAGAACCATCTTCGACCCTGCTCATTTAGACTTTTCCATTTATAACAATGACTCAGAGGTAACTGATTATTCTTCCTCTTGCTTCAAATTGGATTGCAGCTTGTTTCCTAGTCAAGGATAAATCTTAATTTCACTAAAGTGAGAAATGAGGATTGGCCACACGAAGTTGGAGGACATTGAGTAATTCAAACCAAAGAACTTTGCTCCTTTAGTTAGAGACAATAAATCAAGCACAGCTACTTAATTATTTTTAGCAACATGTTTTCCAGTGGAAATTTCAGTCATTTCATAGTCATTTCACAGCATGCTTTTTGTCAAAAACATTAAAAATCAATTAGTTTTCATTAAAAAGTGATAAGATATTCTATTTTCAAAATCAAATCATTTGTAGCTTAGTTGGTGCAAAACATCGAAAACTGAAGTATTTTTCAAAATTATCACAGTTTTCTCAACTTTTTCTGTCCAAGTTTGAATTTTTAGTTAAGGTAATAACCATTTCTGTTATATTTTTATGTTACTTAAATGATCTGGAAATTTATATTTTTCCAATGAATATATATTTATAAAATCTTTAACCTAAAACTTAAGGTCATTTTCTTCTTTGGGCATTATTCTAGATTAAAATGGTCTTTTCTTATATTAAGCCCTAAGATTATGGTGTTTATGCATTACTGCAGTATAGCCAAACCTGTCCTGCCAAGTATGTATCACAAAATTCCAGTTTCCTTGTGAGATCTTATGACCAGTATAGACTAAATGTTTGTGTCTCCCTCACATCTGCATTTTGAAATCGTACCCTCCAGGGTGATGATGTTAGGTGCCTTTGGAGATAATCAGGGTTAGATGAAGTCATGAAGGTGAAGCTTCAAGAAAGGGATTAATGCCCTTAAAAGAGTTTGAGAGAGCTTGCTTCTCTCTACTCTCTGCCATGTGAGTGTACCCTAAGACAGCCACCTGCAAACCAGGCAGTGGGCTCTTGCCAAACACCAAACAAATCTGCCTTGATCTTGGACTTCCCAGACTCCAGAACCATGAGAAATAACTCTCTGTTGTTTAAAACCCCCAGTCTATTGTATTTTATTTAAAACAGCCCAAGCAGACTAAAACAGTAAGTGAACAGTAAGTGAACCATGTCTGATTTAGATAGTATTTAGATAAGATTTTGGACTTTAGACTTTAGAGTTAATGCTCAAACAAGTTGAGAATTTTGGAACTTTTGGGATGCAATGAATGTATTTTGCATGTGAAAAAAACTGTGAATTTGGGGGATGGGGACAGGAACAGAATGTTATAGACCAAATGTTTATATCCCCCCACCCTGCAAATTCATATGCTGAAACCCTAGCCCCCAATGTGATGACATTAAGAGCTGAAGTCTTTAGGAGGAAATTAAGATTTGTTGAGACCATGAGGGCAGAATTCTCATAAATAAGATTCAGGCCCTTATAAGAGTCCCAAGAAAGTTTGCTTCTCTCCACTTTCTTCCACGTGGTGATCCAAGAAGAAAGCCATTTATAAACCAGGAAGCAGGTCCTCACCAAACGTTGAATCTGCTGATGTCTCGATCTTAGACTTTTCAGCCTCCAGTACTGTGAAAATGAAATGTTTGTTAAGCCACCCAGTCTATGGTATTTTTGTTCTTGCAGCCCAAATGGACTAAGACTGATAGATTGACAGATTTTTTTGTGGGTTTCATTCTATGGTCTCCACTAAAATTTAGAATCCAATACATTTGATGCATAATGATATAATTTTTGACATATGGCAATCATCAGTATTAAAAAATACTTACAAGTTAAAAATGATTACTTTAGCCATTTTATAATTTATTTGTGTCCTGTAAGACTAAGCACTGTATTTATAAACTGCAACTTCAGTACTTACCGCAGGTCTAGTAATAAGAACATCTCATAGCCCTGTCTTTGGTGAGCTGAGAGTTTTCAGAGAAGAAAATAAATGCTCGTGTTCCAAGACCATCTTAAATTTTCTTATTCTATACGAATATTAATAACATACAGATCAGAGAATGATGTCTGTAAATTTAGGAATGTTTCGTTTCTGAATTGTATTTAACTTACAAATGCAAAGATATCTAGTCTGGTATCACGTGGAATGAAACCTATTTTGTATATGGTAGAAACAGAGGAAATATAAATCTCTGTGTAGAACCATAAATTTATTCAGAGTGAGACTAAATTACAGTACAATTTGTTAAAGATCTCTGCTATATTTATACTTAGGAAGACAGGTCATTACTTTGTTTCTATTGAAACATTTTTAGATATAAATTATATAATTCTATTGTGTAGTAAGATAGAACACAGACTTTAATTATAAGCCAAATAACTATATTTTTAAGACAATTTGGTATAATATTACATCGACCCACAGTAATTAAAGCTGACATGTCCCTCCAAATAAAATAGCGTGGAGAGCAGTCTTATTAAAAAAAGAAGAAAAAAAAGCAGAGAAGAGCAAAATGATATAAAGTGGTCTAATAATCCCCAGGATGAGCATGGTCTGTCTTATTTTTTAAAATATTTTATTTATTTATTAGAGAGAGAGAGCACACGAGTGGGAGGAAGGGGCAGAAGGAAGGGGAGAAGCAGACTTCCGGCTGAGCAGGGAGCCCGCCCGGGGGCTCGATCCCAGGATTCCGGGATCGTGACCTGAGCCGAAGGCAGACGCTTAACCACTGAGCCACCCAGGCGACCCAAACACGGTCTGTCTTAAAAGTTTCCCAGCAGGTGCTACTTAATTTGTTGAATGTTCCCAAAATCTGTCCTTTAAATTGCAGTCCTTGAAATTTGGTATCAACATCATCGCAGATTTAATCAGACTGAAGAACGGCTGATTTGTGCGTCGTGTCTCAGGATTCAATCTAGAAAAAGAAACCACACAGTGATTTAGACAAAGTTTAATGTAGAGAATTATTAGCTGTAGCAGAGCTTTGCAGTAATGACAGATGGGTCAGTAATAAGTAAAGACAACTGAAAATAATATGGCAACAGTGGCCATAAGGATCGGGAGTCGTTATCAGGGCTGAGACAGAGTGCCCCACGAGGAGGCCCTGGGACTGAACTCAAGGCTGATAGAGATGTCACAGCTGTGGCTCACAGAATTGCAGAAAGTCACTGTGGTACTGGCACTGGCAGAACCTGCTGGAGATGTGGGGAGAATCGTTCATGGGGAACGGTCTCACTGGAGGCATTCAAGGACAACAGTATCTGAGGGGGTGTTGAGGGGGGCTCCTGGGCCCTGGGGAGGTTGACTGGAGAAGGGCAGACGCATCAGAAGTCTGTGCAGGAAGCTGCACCTGCTGCATGAGTCAGTACCTTGCACGGAGAGAGCGAGTTATTTCTGGGACGTTTTGTCCGTGCTCCTCGGTATTTCCCAATATGCAGAGCAGGCTACATAGGAGGCAACAAAAAGTTCCAGGGAACTCACCACCGTGCTGCTCTGAAAGACCCAGTTTCCTGGTCTGTCTTCCTTCTTCTTTTCACTTTTCAGTCTTCTGATGCTTGTTTAATACTTAGGAGGAATAGGCTCCAGTTCTCTGGAGCCAAAAGTCTATCTTTGCATTTAAAATTGTATGTTATCTAGCCAGTGCTTTTCTGGTCTTTAGTGTATCTGGTCTTTAAATTAGTGTATCTGTTTCATAAAAAAATATTTCTCTTCTAGCACATACATTCGTTCTTTTCCACCTTCCTTTTCTTTTCTGCTTTTCCCTCCCTTCCCTTTGTTCACTTCTTCACTACCTCCATTCTCCCTGACACTTCCTCCCTCCTCTTTTCCTACCACATAGTTATTCAGAAACTATTATGTTAAGAAGTGATTCAACAAGTTTTTTATGGCTATCTTTTCCCATGAGACGACCTTCATTGTTCATGTTGGTGTTTCTTCATGTTTAAATTACTTTATATAGAAGTGACAAAAAGAATTTTGTAGTTTCAAAACATAATTGGTTAAACATTTGAAATTTTGGCAAAAAGCACCAAGGGTTTTCACCATCAGAAATAATTTTTATTATTTATTTTAAGCGATTCAATGTAACTGGTAGCAAAATGGTACATAGACAATAAACAGAGCCGATTCCCATAGGATTACAAGGACTATTACTGACTTTATGTTTTATTTTTGTGTGCAAGTTAAGTATTTTAAAAGGCAACAGTTCGTTAAAAGGCTTTTAGAAGCATTTTTTATGCTTTAAATAACAGAAAAACTAATAAACTATCATTATTATACCAAGCTGTTATGAATTGTGTCAATTATTAAATTTGGACTAATGTTCATAATCAAAAATAATTATTGTAAAATTTATGAAACAAAACTTTTAGTTTTATAGGAAATATAGTCATGTCCTAGCTTAGAGTCCTAGTCTTGACAATGGTCAAAATGCAAAAATATTAAACTTGAGATCTCGTGGGCAAATAGAATATTCATAAAATCTTACATTTATTCCTAAAAATAAGTATAATGGAGTAATGAAATGGCAACTCAAAGAAATATCACATTTGATTATTGATGTCAAATATAAAATAAGTTAATTAAACTCATTATTGTTCTCCATTACATATATTAGTTCAATTCTGCCTTTAGTTTGAATAATTTACAGATGAATATATAAGTTTGCCAAATATATTTCATGTGTCACAGCATACATGCATGAATATGCATACAATCTTCGTTTTAAGGTCTGCTTCCAATTTTAAGTAACTTGCTATAAATTCTCTACTTCCCTGTCTGATTAAAGAAAGTTAATGATAGGCTCTCCCTATTTTAGGGGACATTCTTGGTGTTTTTGTTATTCTAAAATGAGAGTAATGGAAAATACTAAAAAACAACAATAACAAATATGCATTTCATCTTCTCTAAGCCAAATTATACAATGGCTATCAAGCTATAATTTCACATGTTAGGTTTTACATTTTTGTTTCCAGAGAATTATTTGGGGAATTTTAGGCTTTCTTTATCTATTTTTTTTTTTTTTAAATCTTCTACTGACTTTCCAACCCATCTGCTTCTTTGTGAAAAGAAAGAAGAAAATTCTCTTCCTAGTCATATATGTCCAATTTTTTGTGAAATTAAAATTTAATGTCAAGGCCAGAAATTTTTTAAAATACAAAATTAGAGGAAAAATATCTTTTTAAATTTATTAATATCTCTCTCATGGGAATACCTTAACACATTTCAACTACCAGGCAAACTCTGCTCTTGTGCTTTTCAGTCTATTTCTGAAGGGGGATAAAGCAATAAAATAACACCAAGGATCAATTTATATTTAATTTATAACTGTAAAATTCTTCATGATTTATATTAAATTTCAATGGCAAAAACTACCTATCTTCACTACATGTTTTTTCCTTACAGTGTTAAAACCTATGTCCTACAGATGATTTTTCAAAATTAAATCAAATTTTTTAACATACCATTGTTTTGCGTGTATTTCAATACCAAAGCAGAGAGGAGGACTTTTAATGTTTTGGAATGTCCTTGTATTCCATAAAAGGTATAATTTTGCCTGCTTGAATTTTAAAGTCTCTTTCTAATGAAATATACTATATAGATTGTGAAAATGTTAAAGTTCAAGAGCCTAATGAAAACCAGTTAATGTTTTAATTCTTGGCTTCAATTTAAGTCAACATATGTGTTTTTAGTATTTTCTCTGGTAGGCATTCTTTTAGGAGAATAATAAATATTTGCTTCTTAACACTTTTCTTGGCATACAATGTATGTCAGACATAAGTTAGCAAAAAGTTCAGGTACTTGATATTTTTTTGTTTGTTTTGGTTTCCTCACTGTTTTAAAACATGCTGTGAACATCTCAAATTCTAAAATGAATATGATATCATATGAAAAGGCAACGAAAAAGGTTAAAATGATTTAAAGATTTATACTCTGAAGCAAACTATGAGTCTTACACAAAAGTCAGCCACACAAGTTTGTTGGTTAATCTCTGTGTAGATGCTAGACATTTATGATGAGCTCAATTTTATAAAACGGCAAGTTTAAAGAATATAATATGACTTTAATTTTTAAGAGGAACCACAATCTTCTATGTCCATTGTGATGCACCAAATATAGTTGGATTTTCTGTTTACTTTCATAAAACCTTAATACTTTTAAAAATTGGCTTCGTACAGTTTGGATCATTGTCAAACAAATACCCGATTTAAATTTTTGTGTTTTAATTTAGGTTTTTAAAATCATTCCATTGATGTCTTTCAGATATTAATAGGAGGAGTACCGATAAGCAATACTTTAAATTTCAAAATAATCTAGACTTCTAAGAGAATAGATTGCTTTTAATACGAGATCGTGTATTCTTTCATGCCAGCACCACTCATTCTTCCCCTAAGATTTAGAGTGGTTTCAAGCAAGATTTTTGTAGGGAAAAAGGGTCTCTTATTTTCCTTTTATCAAAGCTGAGTTTCCTCCCGAGAGTCTTGACCCATGGCATTGCAGATGCTGTTTTTTCGACTGGGCTCACTGTTTGGAAGGTATGCCAGCGGATCTGGTCGGATTAAGTATCTAGGAAAAGAAAACAAAGCAAATAACTATAATAGTAAATAAAGGCAAAACTAATTCACACTTACACCTTAGACTGCTGCTTCAAATGTATTTAGCTTTTAGGTCATCTAAACTGAGTCTATGCATAGCACCGGTAGAGGATTCACTTTTTACTTGGCTTATACAATTTGGCAGGACTTGTCTTGTTTCTATACCTAAGCAGATTATGATGATGTATGCTGATGAATCAAGAATTATTATTTTTTAGTTATGGTCTGTTTCACCACCTTCATCTTATCAAAACTTTATGTTTTACTTTACTATCCTGTTGATTTATCATCCCTTTCTTTGGCTATTTTTCTAACAAGGAGACCTAAATAGCCATGATCTTTCTATTACTTAACTGCTCTTAGTCTTTTATCATTCATAAATAAATCTGATCTAAATAATTTCTATACTCTTTTTAATTTAAATATTTCAGGATTCTAAAAAAGTAGTCATTTGATACATGCTCTGAAGAATAATATGCAGAGATAATCTTTTAATTATCTAGAAATTAATCTAAAATTCAGGTTCTGCTACGGTGAGCAATTATACAAAAGAATAAAAAATAATTCTTAATTTGTTTTACTGGTAAATGGGAAAATGTTCATCCGCCAAACTCATACATTTCAATAATGTTAGAATTTGTTTTAAGAGAGATGTTTTACTTCAGACTCTATATGACATGAGCTTCCACTTCCTGAGTTCCTCTGGAATACTGTGTTGGGAACTGGGAATACAAAAAGTCACAAACCCTAACCCCTGTCCTGCACAAGATTAGTAGAGTTTAATTTAAAAAGCAGATATAAACAAGCAAAATAAATTCCAAACATCATGGGAAGACAAAAAAAAAAAATGAGAATTAGGGAATACTTTACTGAGAAGGTTGAGTTGAGCTTCTCTCTCTAAGCTTGCTCCTGATCTCTTTAGAAAATGAGTTTGACTTCGGGAGAATGGTTAAACCAGGAAATAGTGGAACGTAAATTCAGGAAGAAAAGTAGAAAACAGCTAACGAAGGACTTTAAGTTTCAGGATAAAATAGTTTCGATTTCTGTTCCAAAGGCAGTGGAAAGCCACTGACAGTTTGCTGAGAGAGGAGGAAAGTAAATGCATGTAATGCAGCATTTGAACAAAGCCTTGTTTCAGATGCAAATGAAACTAGGAATTCATAGTTTCATAATAATTTGGGAGATAGAAAAAATGAGCAGAAAACCTAATTTAAAGGGAGAACTCTAATGAAGATTGTACTTTTCCTCTTAAAAACTAAAGGAAAATTATTCATAAAATATGTTCCTTAATGAAAATGAGAAAAGGCAATTTAAAGCACTACAGTCTATTTTCTCTGATCAAATAAAAGGTGGAATTAATGTCCATGAATCCTTAACTGGATATTGTTGTCTATGCACACTGCTTTATAATTACTTTAAATATCACTAGCATTGTAGAGTGATGAAGAAAACTAATGTGAACATTAAGCACTTTTTATTTGATAAACTGAATATGTTCCAATTTGTAAATTAAAGATGTACAACTTGTTACTTTGATACATTTATATATTTTAATATGATTGCCCTTGAAACAATATTCATCATATTACATCATTGTAGTACGTTATTATTAACTATATTCATTATACTATGCATTAGATCTCTATCTTTATTTCTTGTTATAAGCTTGGACCCTTAAACACCATCAATCTTAATCCCCCACCTCCCAATCCCCTGGTAACCACCTACTTTTTTTATTTGTTTGACTTTTTTTTGGATTCCATATATAAGTGGTATCAGTAGTACTTGTCTTTCTCTGACACCTCACTTCCCATAATGTGTTCAAAGTCCATCTATGTTGTTGAAAACGGCAGGATATCTTCCTTACTCATGGCTGAATAATAGCCACTATGTATAATACCAAATCTTTCTTATTTATTCATCCATTGATGGGCATTTGAGTTGTTTCTGTATCTATTATTGTGAATAATGCTGCAATATACATGAGTGTGCATATGTCTCAACAAAACCCTGTTTTCATTTCCTTTGGATAATATACCCAGAAGTGGAATTGCTGGATCATATGGCAAATTTATTTTTACTTAAAGATTTGTCAGCTTTATCTTTTCAAAAAACTAGCTTTTAGTTTCATTGATCCTTTCTATTATTTTTCTAGTCTCTATTTCATTTTTTTTCATTCTCAGTTTTTTCTTAAAGATTAGTTATTGGCAGCGGAGGGGCAGAGGGAGAGGGAAAGAGTCTTAAGCAGACTCCATACTGAGTGAGGAGCCCAAGATGGGGCTTGATCTCATGACCCTGAGATCATGACCTGAGCCAAAACCAAGAGTCAGTGGCTTAACCAACAGTGCCACTCAGGAACCCCTTGTTCTGACTTATTATTTCTTTCCTTCTGTTAACTTTGGGCATTGTTTGTTCTTGTTCTAGTTCCTTTAGATGTAAAGTTAGGTTGTTTATTTGAGATCTTTTTAATTTCTTAATATATGCATTTATTGCTATTACCTTTAGAACTGCTTTTGCTACGTCCCACAAAATTTGATACTTTGTATTTTCATTTTCATTTCTTTCAAGAATGTTAAGCTGTTTAACACCAATCACCTAGTTATTTATTAGTCTTTGAATCAAATTAAAGTTGTCCCTTTATTTAAAATGAACTTTTGAAAGAAAATTTTTAGAAAACCAAAAGGTATGATATAATCTACTACCCCCAAATTCATTGATATAGCTGCAAAAGTTGCTTTCTTTATTATCACTACTAAACCTATGAGTGTAATAAAATAGCTTCTTAAGTATGTATTTATGTACTACTTGTCACAGTAGGCTTTTTTTTTTTTGTGATATTTATCATTGCTCCAGTTATAGTAAAACTTAATTATTTCAATGGCCACAAATACAGATCATTGCAAAAAAAAAAAAGTTTTTTTATAGCAGTCAAGCTAATGGTTTAGCTTTAAACAAATAAAAAAATAAGAGTATCCACAAGGCAGAAAATATCATGTTTATTTTACCTGTAAAATACATATTGTAACATACATATTTTATTTGTAAGTTTAAATTTGGAGGGAATTATTTCAAATTATAAACATCTATTCAATGAAAGGACATGTTTATAGACTCAAAAGGTTAATATCTTTCCATTCCATCAAAAATAATCATGGGAAATAATTATATTAGGTTCAAAAGTTTATAATTTATTATGAAATATGAATAAGGTAAGCATAACTCCCTACTAAACACTATGAATTGGGGTGCCTGGGTGGCTCAGCTGGTGGGTGTCCAACTCTTGGTTTTGGCTCAGGTCATGATCTCATGGGTCATGGGATCAAGCCCCGTGTCAGGCTCCATGATCAGCAGGGAGTCTGCTGGAGATTCTCTCCCTCTGCCCCTCCTTCCAGATGCTCTCTCTCTCTAAAATAAATAAATCTTTTTAAAAAAATTACATAGTCAACATAATTATTACTACTTTGAAAAGGAGGCATAAGAAGGTTGGGATTATAGAGAGGATGGAAAATTAATAAAAATTGCCCAATTTTGTAGGTTTAAAGGAAGGAAGACATGTATTAATATGGACGCAAGAAAAACAGAGCAGTTTCGTTTTATTATAGTAATATACAAAGTGAAGTCTCCAGGATGGGCAGTTAAATGCCAATGCATCATAAATAAAATATTTTCATGTAATTTAAAGTCCTCCACAAATTCAACATCACCACTGGACATAATTTTTGACAGCTGCCTTAAGAATTCAAGCAGGTGAGATCGTATGATACTTTTCTCTGATTGACTTGTTTTCGCTTAGCATAATACCCTCTAGTTCCATCCACGTCATTGTAAATGGCAAGCTTTTGTGTTTTTTTGATAGTTGCATAATATGATCTCACTGATATGAGGAATTATTAATCTCAGGAAACAAACTGAGGGTTGCTGGAGTGGTGTGGGGTGGGAGGGATAGGGTGGTTGGGTGATGGACATTGGGGAGGGTATGTGCTATGGTGAGCACTGTGAATTGTGTAAGACTGATGAATCACAGATCTGTACCTCTGAAACAAATAATACATTATATGTTAAAAAAAAAGAAGATAGTAGGAAGGGAAAAATGAAGGGGGGGAAATCGTAGGGGCAGACAAACCATGAGAGACTATGGACTCTGAGAAACAAACAGAGTTCTAGAGGGGAGGGGGTGGGGGGATGAGTTAGCCTGGTGGTGGGTATTAAGGAGTGCACATATTGCATGGAGCACTGGGTGTTATACACAAACAATGAATCATGGAACACTACATCAAAATCTAATGATGTAATGTATGGTGATTAACATAACATAATAAAATAAAATTTAAAAAAAAGAAAATAATACTATGTACCATTAACACACACACACACACACACACACAAGAATTCAAGCAGGTGAAATTATTATGAATCTCATTCCCTAAAGCTCTAATATTCTAACCAGAATCATCAGATGGCAATATAAAGCATTATACTAATTAGTTGTATTTGAGGTGCATTATAAATTGTTTTCACACTGATTTTGGGTTAAAGTTATTCCTGCTGAGGTATTTTCCTATGAAGTTTTTGAAACATACTTATCTTTCTACCCTAAAATCATTCTTTTTTTTTTTTAGTTTTATTCATCTGGAAGATGAAAAATTAATATTTTCTACATAACTAGCTTCTCTTCAAGGGTCCAGTACTGTATTTCTGTATGCTTTCTAGACATGTATCTAAACTCTAGCTCATCATCTTTTTTTTTTTTGGATGTTCATATCAAATTTATTCATAATAGAAAACTCATCATTTCTTTTTTCCACAGCCAAAAATTCCCCTTTTCCTCCTAGAAAACTGCCTCCTTATTCTGACTTGCTTCAGTGAGCCAACATTTATTTATTTATTTGGCCATCACATAGAATTGAATTTTTTAAAAATTTTGTTAGTTACTATACAGTGTAATATTGGTTTCTGGAGTAGAATTCACTGATTCTTCGCTTACATACAACACCCAATGCTCATCACAACAATGCCCTCTTTAATGCCCATCACCATCTAGCCCACCCCCCACCCACCTCCCTCCATCAACCCTGTTTGTTCTCTATCATTAAAAGTCACTAATGGCTTGTTTCACTCTCTCCTTTTTTTCTTTTCCCTTCCCATATGTTCATCTGTTTTCTTTCTTAAATTCCACATATGAGTGAGACCACATGATATTTGTCTTTCTCTGGCTGACTTATTTCACTTAGCATAATACACTCTGTCTCCATCCACATCGTTGCAAATGGCAAGATTTCATTCCTTTTGATGGCCGAATAATATTCCATTATACATATATATATATATATATATACACACACACACACACACACACCACATCTTCTTTATCTGTTCATCAGTTGATGGACGTTTGGGCTCTCCCCATAGTTTGGTTATTGTTGACAATACTGCCATAAACATCGGGGTGCATGTACCCCTTTGAATCTGTATTTTTTACCCTTGGGTAAATATCTAGTAGTGCAACTGCTGGAGCGTAGGGTAGTTTTACTTTCAATTTTTTGAGGAACCTCCATACTGTTCTCCAGAGTGGCTGCACCAGTTTACATTCCCACCAGTAGTGCAAGAGATTCCCCTGTCTCCACATCCTTGCCCACACCTATTGTTTCTTGTGTTGTTAATTTTAGCCATTCTGACAGGTGTGAGGTGGTATCTCATTATCTTATCTTTTGTATTTGATTTGTATTCGATTTGTATTTCCCTGATGATGAGTGATTTTGAGCATCTTTTCGTGTATCTGTTAATTATTTGGATGTCTTTTTTGGAAAAGCATTACTTCATGTTTTCTGCCCATTTCTTAACTGGATTATTTGTTTTTTGGGTATTGAGTTTGGTAAGTTCTTTATAGATTTTGGAACCCTTTTTAGATATGCCATTTGCAAATATCTTCTCCCATTGCCACCTTTTTTTTTTATTTTTATTTTTTTTTTGTGCATTGCCACCTTTTAGTTTTGTTGATTGTTTCTTTCGCTGTGCAGAAGCTTTTTATCTTGATGAAGTCCCAATAAATAGTTCATTTTGCTTTTGTTTCCCTTGACTCCAGTGACATGTCTAATAAGAAGTTGCTATGGGCTGAGGTGAAAGAGGTTGCTGCCTGTGTTGTCCTCTAGGATTTTGATGGTTTCCTGTCTCACATTTAGGTCTTTCATCCATTTTGAATTTATTTTTTGTGTATGGTGTAAGAAAGTGGTCCAATTTCATTCTTCTGCATGTTGCTGTCCAATTTTCCCAACACCATTTGTTGAAGAGACTGCCTTTTTTTCCATTGGACATTCTTTCCTGCTTTGTCAAAGATTAGTTGACCATAGAGTTGTGGGTCCATTTCTGGGTTCTCTATAGTATTGAAATCTTAAAGCCATGTTAGACTTCTTTTCCAATTCCCACACCAATGACAAGTCTTACTCTTTGCCTTCCTACGTGTATCTACGTAGAAGCCTCCCTTTACAATTCATTTTCCTAATGCTAGGAGATAGTCTTATCTTCCTCATACTTTCCTAACAGCAATTTAACTGGTTTCCCTATTTTCATGCCTATTTCAACTTTAACCCATCCTGCCAATAAATTCTACTGCTTCTTGCAATGTTCTTTTAAAAAAAATATATATCCTTTCCATCCCAGGCAAAACTTCCCACAAAATATATAAAAGTAGCCTTCTAATTCTTGGCATATTACTAGCTTTAGTTCTAAACCACTTGCATGGATCCATCTTACACTCTGCATCACAGAATATTCTCAGTCCTCTTAGTCTCTGACTTTATTCCTGATTATAGATACAAACACATGCTGTTGACCTCACACCCACCAAAACTTTTGGATCTTTGGTATTTGTATTATGTCAGTAATGCAATCTGAAATTAGCTACCTTAGCTCAGCAGCTCTTGATCCTGCTCAGCCTCAGGACCATGGACCTCAAGGGCAAGTCCGTATTAGATATTTCTCCCCTAGGCCTTACACCATTAACTGTCAAAATGCCTTTTCTAAAATCTTGCTACTTTCTTGTTCATATATCTAAGTACTTCCCATTGCCTATAAGTTTTAAACTGAGTTTAAACTCCTTATTTTGTTATCTAAAGTCCTCCCAGAGTCAGGTTTAATATACGTTTCCAATATTATGTTTAGTGAACAACAGAGATGCTAGTAATACAAAGCTTTTTTACTCTGGTCAAACTGGACTCTGTAGTATTGCCAAATGAAGCACATTATGCAATCCCCACTTAGTACATTTTCTCTAGCCATTTCCCTGTTCTGGAATGTCCTGTGCTCTCCACCTACACAAATCTTATCTACTTTTCAAAGTCTAGTTCAAATCCTTATATCCTCTGTAATCACTGTAACTCACAATAATGTCTTCCTCTTTGAAATTAGAAAAGCACTGTTTCACTCAGTTGATGCTTAATTCATTAGTAAAAAAATCATATTATATATTGCTATTAAATTTTTTATGTTTAAATTGTATTTTGTTAGAGTGTTAAGACTTTGAAATCAGGAAAAATGTCTTATCTCTATATCACACTTTAAAGGAAACACTAACACAATTGTACATGCATGGCACAGAGTTTTTGATTAACCAAGTTACTACCATAGACATTTTCCTAGTAAGTGTTTTCACTTATTTTACTTAGAGCTTTTGGGAACTCTAAGAGATTTAGAACTAGATAAAGTGGAGTATTTCAGGTTTTCCTCTGAGCTCTTCTCTTATTATTCTGAATGTTTTCTCTTGTTTCTCCAAATATATATGAGCTCACAGAATACAGAATTCCTGCTGCTATTTCCTTCTTTTATACCTCTACAATTCTACAATGCTTTTTTTTTACAGTATTACACATAGAAATACATAAAATGCATTTATTTATTGAACATAAAAATTAGACTTGGAGTTTCTAAGCATTTATGAAACAAGAAATAAGGGACTTTAATGGTGGAAACAAAAATATAAAAATAAATAAATTACTGGTTTTCAAAAATAAATGCCTTGTGTGAAATAGGAGATCAACTTACACAACATCGTTCAGCTCTAGTCTGGTATCTGGAGATGGGTTAATCAGGATGTAGGAGAGGGTACTTTGATGATCATTCATTTCATCTAGAAGATAAATAAATGCCAAGTTTGTTATACTACTTACAGAAAATTACAGGAATTACTGTAGAGCATCTAATCTTCAAACCATACAGCTGTCAACGAGAACTTTAGCGCTATAGTTTTGCCCACAGCATGATTGTGTACATAACTTTGACTATTTTCAAATTACTGTCATTGGAAATATCTGACAGGTACTCATTTTTTTCCCAACGGATGATAAAAATAAAGTATCTAATTCTGTTCAGAACAACTACAGTTATATTCTGTCCTTTAAGCTATTACACTGAAAAAGTATTTCTATTAAAGAAATATCCAGACAAGATGTTTATTAATTTATTATGCCTTCTCAATTATAAAAAATAATTGTGGTTATAGATGGCCAGATATTAATATTCATATGGGAAATTCTGTGAAAAATCATCTGATGACATTCTGTTTAAAAAGCACAACAGAAATGTATCTAAAAAGCTTGAAGGCTCTAAATGTTTCACATTGTTATAGGATATACCTGATATAAGCCATCCTAATGTTTTCGCAAAATAAAAGAATCCTGTAAAGCAGAATTAACTGTAAGTTTCAAGGGAGGTGTACTACTAAATTGTTGTTCTTCTAAAACAATATGTATTTTTAAAATAAAAGGCTTTGTCTTTTTAATTTTTTCAGTTCACTCCGAAAACATTGTCAGTCTTCAAGTTTGGAGAGCTAACTTGATATTATATAAGACACTGAAAAATAAAACAGCTTTGAGATCTCAACTTTTTAGCTGCCAAAGCTATGATATGATGTAAATGTAAAGCCATGTGGACACATACTTCAATAACATAATCCTCCCAAGGGTGACATTTTTAGGCTGTTGAGAGTACTGTTCAAAATCCTGCTCTAGAGCCATACATAGTATCCTTCTAGCCACTTCAGTTGCAGATAAGCTTGGTTCCTAAAACAAGGTACTAAATTTTGCAGTTTGATCCAAAATCTAAGAATATACTTCATACCAATGGAGATACATCAATACTCAAATGCATAAAGTTAAAATAAAGGTCTTTTTTAGGCCAACATAGTTGACTCTGATAATTTCCTGCCCTGGAAAATATGTACCATTTTAGTTAAATAATGTCTACCACTGTGTTCATCTAACTAGAAGCTTATCACTTGAATATGTAAAATTTAATAATATTTTCAGTTATGATAGTTTAAGTTGCCATGCAGATGTGTCCTATTTTTAAAGTCTATAAATGAAAATCCTTATCTGACAAGGAAGATAAACTGCAGTGTAATCAAACTTACCATAAGTTTGCAAGTAAAACTATTATAATCCTAAGATCATCAAATTTATATTTAAAAAAAGGAACATATTTGGTTGCATATCTCTAGGGTAAACACAAGGAATTGTATCCTGTCAGAGGGATAGGGTTATCAGGCCAAATAGGGAATGCCTGGTGAAATCTGAATTTCAGATAAAAACTAACAATTTTTTGGTATAAATATGTCCCAAATACTGTTTGTGACATACTTATACTAAAACATTTATATGCTGTTTATCTGATATTCAAATTTAACTGAGAATCCTGTATTTTTACTTGTACCCTGTATTTTAAACCTGTCCATTATACCTAGAGGTAAATGGCTAACTCAACCAGTTGGAGCTCAGAATTCCAATGAATATAAAGTGATGAGCTTACTTCAAACAAGGTAAAATTCCAACTCAAAACATATTGTACTGGCAGGAGATGACCAAGATCCTTTTTCTATATAAAAAGCAATTTTGATTTATCTATACTTTTTGAGAAATTTTCCCCTTATGAGAATTTCCATAAGTGCTGTACAAAGGAACAGATCGATAGTATATTCTAGAGACTTAAGCAGGATCCTCTAAAGTGTATCAGGTCTACTAGAAAATCTCCATCTCATTTGGCTATGTATAACTCAATTTCTTATATAAACAGCGGCATTATTGAAATTTCTCGTATAAACAGTGAACATTATTAAACAATGGCATTAGAGAAAACAATTTTAACAAATAACTTTTCAGTCAATATCAATACCCAACCTCTCCCCGTGATTATTAACATAACGTTGTACTCATTTGTCTTCTGGCATGAAGTCAAGATATATCGGTGACTTGGTTTGCCTGTTACAAGTGTAAAAACTGTGTAGATAACTGAGAACTTTACAGCAGTAGATATAACTATTGTGTTGATATTTTTTCCTGCTCAAGTAGTCTGTTTTATTTAACATTCTGAAGATTTTCATGTTTCCATGCACTCCAGAAATTGAAGGGAATGTTTTGCTAATGTGCTCAGTTCAGTGGTCCCATAAGATTTATATCAAGACATGGGTCACACAATCAGAACTCATCACTCCTGGTTTCTTTCCCCACGCTTTTCCCCCCTACCCCCACCCATCGCTGACTTCTCCTCAGTGCTAGGTTAAAAGAAATTAAAATAAATTGCTGAGTTCAAAGTTATTCTCTCTTGGTCTTTCATGTCTGCCTTGCTGTAGAGTTAATTCTAGTCTACTTTTTCTCTGTCATGCTGCTTTGTTGGGCCGTCCTACAGTTCATTCTCCTCTTTGTGACTCTGTGGTTAAGAATTAGAAAGCAAGGTTTTAGGGGCACCTGGGTGGCTCAGTCGTTTAGCATCTGCTTCGGTTCAGGTCATGGTCCCAGGGTCCCCTAACCCTAACCCTGCATCGGGTTCCTTGCTCCGTGGGGAGCCTGCTTCTCCCTCTCCCACTCCCCCTGCTTATGTTCCCTCTCTCGCTGTCTCTCTCCCTCTCTCTGCCAAATACATTAAATTAAAATAAAATAAAATATAAAAAAGAATTAGAAAGCAAGGTTTTAAAAACCTATTGTGGTCACATATCAAAACCATATTCAACGATCTAGTTTTATCAGCGCCAAGTCTGGTATTAATCTCTATTGGCCATTCCTTATATTTATTTTTTGTTGTTATTTCTAAATTCTGGAAGGGAAACTGTGGTAAATTTCCTACCATAATCATAATCATCATCATCATCATCATCATCATCATCATCATCATCGGTGGTGACAAGTCCCAGTGAATTAAATAAGGCTCTTTACCAAAACTCCAACATATTTAGTGAATAAAATAAAATTGCCTGGAATATTTGGTTCATGAACCAGGACCAATATTCTATTTCCTATCAGGAAAATATGTGCTAAGAAAATCTGTTGTGAGCATATTCGATGTGTTCCTGACAAGTAAACTCTGACCCTGGCAAAATAAAAATCATTATATCATTATATATTTATATTGTTTTGCCGAAATTATTTAATCATTAATATAATTATCTTAAATGAAGCTATTCTTGTGAAAAATTAAAATAAATGTACCAGAATATTGAAAACTTTAAAAGAAATTGTATAGAATCAAAATAAAAAATTTCTAGTAGTATTTACCAAGAAACTTATTTTGCTCTATTAATTAGCATATGCAATCATTCAATCAAAATCTCCATAGAGCAAATATTCTGCTTAGAATGTTGCATGTCAATAAATCACATTAGAAAGAAAATGGATTTCTACGCCTACTTTTCTTACAAAATATTTCCTGTTGAAGAATTTTAAGAGTACTTTTATTTTTTATTTTTATTTTTAATTTTTTTAAAGATTTTATTTATTTATTTGACAGAGAGAGAGAGAGAGCGAGAGAGGGAGCACAAGCAGGGGGAGTGTGAGAGGAGAAGCAGGCTTCCCGCTGAGCAAGGAGCCTGATGGATGATGGATGCAGGGCTTGATTCCAGGACCCTGGGATCATGATCTTAGCGGAAGGAAGATGCTTAATGACTGAGCCACTCAGGCTCCCCTTAAGAGTACTTTTAGGAGGGCGCCTGGGTGGCTCAGTTGGTTGGGCGACTGCCTTCGGCTCAGGTCATGATCCTGGAGTCCCGGGATCGAGTCCCACATCGGGCTCCCTGCTCAGCGGGGAGTCTGCTTCTCCCTCTGACCCTCTTCCCTCTCGTGCTCTCTATCTCTCATTCTCTCTCTCTCAAATAAATAAATAAATAAAAAATCTTAAAAAAAAAAAAAAGAGTACTTTTAAATAAGGAGAATAAATTTGATCAGAAAGAAATTTAAATTTTACATATGATGGTGTAGATTTCACTAAATATTTCTAAAAACATATCCATTATGTGTTATGTAATTAAAGAGACATTTTAAGTAATACAAAGGTATCAATAAGAGGCTTAGTTAAGAACAGAGATTCTGAAACCAGAGTGCCTGCATTGAAATCCAGCTTTCCCAGTTACTCATGTTGAGGCCTTAGGCAAATTACTTAGTTTCTTTTAATCTCTTGTGCTCAGTTTTAATTTCTTGTGCTCTAAAATGGGGGGGGGGAACAATAGTACTATCTCATAGGTTATTCTTCAAATTAAATTATAAATGAATAATAAATATAATTTAAAAGTAACAATATAAATATACAGGTCTTAGAATCAGTGCCTCATTTATATCAAGTGCTATATAAGGGTTTCCTATTATTATTGTAGCAGGCAAAATCAATCCATAACTTGTAAATAATAACCATATAGGTATTGCGATATGAAGGTGTTAGCATGCAAAGACAGGAAAGGAAAAGTGTTCAAAGAACATTAATGGGAAAGCTGAGATGGTTGAGTTAAAACTGCAGAAAGCAGGCCCTTGTGGATGGACTAAAGTGAGCAAGGAGGAGAGTAACTGGGGACAATGTTGAAAAGTCAAACTAGGAGCAGATCCTTTAGGGCTTTATAGACCTTGATCAGAAGCTCAAATTTTATTCTAAAAGCAATGGGAAGTCATGGGAGGGTTACAAGGGTGGGAGACTAAGTGGTATGATCTAATTTGATCATATTGAATATATTACCTTACTTGGTTGCTCTGTGGAAAATTGACTTTAGGGGCTCAAATCTGGGTTCAGGAAGAGTAGACAAACAATATAGAAACCCAGGTGAAAGATGATGGTGGCTTGGGAGCAATGGAAATGGAAGATATTTGGAAGGAGGGA